GTTTTCCCTCCCACCCCCACCCACTCCAGGGCCGACATCCAGCCGCAGGGTCCGTTTCCCCCCCCCCAACCCCACTCACTCCAGGGCCGGCGACTGGAGGTGCAAGCCTCCGGCTGCCGGGTCCGTTTCCACCCCCCCACTCCAGGACCGGAGACAGGAGGCAGAAGCCTCCGGTCGCCCACTCCCTTCCCCTCCCCCACCACCCACTCCCAACAGGCACTGAGGGGAATGTAGGGTTGCCAGCTCTAAGGAGGGAAATACCTGGAGGTTTGGGGGGTGGATTCTGTAGAGGGCAGCATTGGGCGGGGGGGGGGCGGAAGGACTCAGCAGGTATAATGTCATAGGGTCTACCCTCCTAAAGCAGTCATTTTCTCTAGGGGAACTGATCTCTGTCATCTGGAGATCAATTGTAGCAGTGGGAGATCTCCAGGTCCCACCTGGAGATTGGCAACCCTAGGGGGAAGTCAGCTGCACAGCAGGGGGTTGAAGAGAATGGTTTGATGGCTGCTGGACCAAGATTGGCAACAATAGTTCCCTAGGAGCCCCATCGTAAATGCACCAAACAATTCCTCAAGATTTTCCAAAACACTACTCTGTTTTGGGCTCCTGGGGAACTTTGAAGTAGCACCAAAGCTTTAAGATCTCTCCAGCTGTCATCTGGAGACTGGCAACAGCTTGTCTGGAGTGTGGGCAGTATGGCATTGTATCTGTCTGAGGTCCCCCTCTTCCTCCTCCTCCGCAGACCCCACCCTCAGCAGGCTTCATCCCTAAAATATCCTGGAAGTTTCCAACCTGGAGTTGGCCACCCTATGTCCTTTCCTGGCTACCATCAGCCAATTTTTATCTGCCTGTCTGTCTTAAGTTTTACAACCCCCCCCCCCCCACACACACACACAGCCTCTGCCTAGGGAAAGGGCAGCCTTTCCCTGCAGTGGTAACCAAAGCAGCTGACATCATTCTCCTCTCCCCTATGAGGTATGTTATGCAACTGAAAATTCCAACTGCCTTGCTGGGGGGGGGGAGTTTGAGGTGTGGAATGAAGTCCAATCAGCTTCCATATGCAAATGACCTTGGAACACTGGGCGGGACTGCACAAAGCAGCCAGTCAACCCAGCCAGTGTCTTCTGAGTGGCAGTTTTTCCGGTCTAACACTAAAGGGGCCAAATTTAGAACGTTGCAATATAGAACGTTGCTATTCAATTATAATAAGGGAGAGATATTTATTTACATACATTGTAAGCCACCTTTAGTTCTGTGTGGTAGAAAGGTGGCTAATGAATGCTTTAAATAAATACAATAATAATAATAAATACCACAGAAGAGCCCTGGATGTAAGATACCTGGCCCCCTTTTAAAAAATTCTGCACAAAAGTTTTTTTTTTAATTACTACACATCCCTGTAACTCTTAGTATATGAATTTAGGACAATCCTCTGTTTATCTTCATGGGACCCCTGTAGGGGGAAAACAAAACAAAACCCTAGCCTTCTTTTCAGGTAAATATAGTATTTCCACAAAACATCTGTTTCTTGCTGAAATGCAAGGCAGACAACATGATATAAAACAATGTAATCAGACAGCATAAGGCATCCAGTGATCAATGCAATACAGCAAGGATTTAAAAAGTTAGAAAAACAATGCAAAACAAAACAAAAAATGGGTATTGGGCAGGAAATGTAATTACAAAAATAGAAGACGATGCAGTAAGAGCTGGATAAAACATAAAAATAAACACCAGAATAAACTACAATACTGTCCCTCTTATAAAGAAGCACCTGAGCTATGCTTGCCAGTACGGTTGCTAGCTTTGGGTTGGGAAATGCCTGGAGATTTTGGGGGTGGAGCCTGAAGAGGGTGGGATTTGGGGAGGGGAGGGACTTCAATGGGGGTGTAATACCAAAAACGTTCACCTTCCAAAATGGCCATTTTCTCCAGGGAACTGATCTCTGTTGCCTGGGCATCAGTTGTAATGCCAGGAGGTATCCAGCTACGACTTGGAGGTTGGCAATTGGCAGGAGGCCTGAGAACAGGGTGGGCATGATGTCAATAATGTCACCAGTGTTTCCAAGTCACTTCCAGGTACAACCCGGAAGTAAAAAGGGGTAGCTCTAGGATTTTAAAAAAAAAAACAATTTCTTGTCAGTGGCAAGCCTAAGTGTCCCCCTGAATCATTCACCTATACTACAGTGCTATTACATTTATCAAATTCCATTTATCAAAATGACCTCCTGATCATAGGAAAACCAGCGCAGTGTGTAAAAGGCTAAGACTGAACTGTTCTCCTTGATTTAAAAAAAAAAAATTAAGGGAATTTTTACATAGGAGAGCATTAAAGACTCTAACCACTACACCATGCAATCTTTCAGTCTGAAATGGTACAACCGTAGAAGTCAGCTGCCACCTTCTACTACATGTGCAGGCCACGCTTTGGTGAGGTGGGAAGTGGCAGGAACATACTGTGCCTAGTCATCTCTACCCTGCACCTTATACTGACTACCATATTAGGATAGGGGCCATTGCTCAGCAGTAGACGGCCTTGCACGCAGAAGGTCCCACATTCAATCCCTGACATCTCCTGTGAAGAGGATTTAGTTGTAGATGCTGTGGAAGACTTTTACCTGAAACCCTGGAGACCTGCTGCTGGCAAAAGTAGACAACAACACTGGCCTTGATCTGAGTTCTGATTCAGTGCAAGGCAGCTTCATCTGTTCATATTCAAGCTACAAAGTTGTCATGGGATCACAGGGCTGGGAAGGTCGGACCAGAACCAATGAGTAGAAATTAAA